ATTTTGACATTATTTAAAAATCTGTCATTACTTAAATATCATTATATTTAGTAACATAATATGTAAAGATAAAAAATAAAAAATAACATAATTTTTTTTATATATATTTTAATGATTGATTAATATTTATTTTATTAATAAATTTTAATTACATTATTTTTTTTATCTTCAAATATCATATTACTAAATATAGCATCACTTAAATATGAATAAATATTAAAATTTAACAATTAATAATGTCAATATGATAAGAGAACTAAATTTATATATTTTTAAAATTAGAAGGGTTAAATAACTCTATTTTAAAATAGATGATCAAAATTAAAAATTGACAAAAATAAAGACCAAAAATGTAATTTAACAAAAAAATTAATTAGGATAGGAACTATCGCTCCATGTGGGGCAATCAATTTTTCTTGAATCATATCTTATTTGAACACAAGTTATAAGTGTTTTTCTAAAGTTTCTATAAATAAGGAAAACTCTTTATTTTCAATGAAAAAACTTTCAAAAACACTTTTAGATTTATACTAAATAGGTTTTGAATGAAAAATATTAACATCATGCAAACTAAATTTAAGTTTAGAGTTCATCGATGGGGTTGTAATTTTTTAAAAGAAACAAAAACTTTATAAATTAAAAACATGTTTAAGAGGTATTTATAGCTATATATTTTTAAGAAAAACTTTAAAATAATTTTATTTATTTGTTAAGAAAATAACTTCCATAAAAAATTGTAAATACGTTATTCTTAATAAAAACACATCTAAACGTATTTAACAGCCATGCGCGTTAAATACTTGAATAGAGAATTTATAGTGATTGTATCCACTCAAACAAAATTAGGTTGGGTCGAAGAACACTGATAAACTTAAAAATATAGGGGAAAATATCCGGATCCCTTCGGACCCACAAAACCTCTTCACAGGAAGCCTTGAGAGTAACCATCAAGAGCATAAACAATGGAGTTGTGGGGAAATCTTCAGTTACAGTAGCAATATTGAAGTTTTTCTCAAAGGGGCACATTCACATGCATAGGAGGACATTAACTTCTTCGATACCTTTACGTTGAGGAGGAACAATCATAGGTTGTTAAAGATTAGAGTTGTCAACGTGGGTGCCATTTCGTTATTGGGATGCTCTCATCCACTCTTTTTTTTCATCTTATCTGATCCTAAGTCCTAACTATTAACTAACATAAATGAAAGCTAATTGTTTTTGGCAATTTCCTTTTACTTATTCACTCATTTTTTCTGTGTTTTATTTTAATTTCTTTCCCAGTTTTTTTTTTCTGAAAAATTAAGTTTTGAAATTTATTTTAGTAATAAGTAAATGTTACAAAAGTTAATTTCTAAAATATTATATATATATATATATATATATATATATATATTCCAAAAACTAATTTTATAAAATGGTAGAATTTTAATATATTATGATAATATATGTTGATAAATGATAATAATTTAGACAAAATCCTAAAGTACTCAAGAGATCTTGTTATTTCAAAGAAGAGGGAGGTTTAAGATATTCATAGAAACAATACAATCAATTCAAAGATATATAAAAGGAGGAATATATTTAATATATCCATAAAAACACATTATTAATCTCTCCTGACAAGTTCTTCTTTAATCGCATAAGGAACATTTTGGACCTGTGGCTTTAGGACATGGTTTAGCAACTTTGAGTAAGGTTGAGCATCTTAGCTACAAGATCACGATATATACTATTGGATTAGCAAGCAACAGATAAACTCATCGCAATGGAAAGTTAACATCCAAGCTACAACTTTCACGAAGACCATAAAAGTAAATTCGGTCATCTACTTGCTTAAACGAGTCCATCTTTTACTTAAATAAGGTCAGTTTGCTCAAAGTGATCAATAACTTTCTCTTAGTAACCAAAATTCACTTAAAGTGCCTAAAAACTCATTTGGAGTGACCAAAATTCGCTCTAAGTGATCTGAGTCAAAGAGCTTCTCTCAGCAACCATCCAAGCTCACTTGAAGCTACTCCCATGGGCACTCTAAGTGACCAAACCCAAAAAATATGCAAATTGAAAGCCCAAGAACATCAAACAAGAAAAATACTTTAATAATCCAAAAATCCACCCAACTCATACATCAATTCTTCCATGCAACTTAATCCAACTCATACATATACCTTCCCAACAACTCATTTTGGCCCAAAACCACATCCTTAATGATCATTATTTTTTGTGATTGACGCCTTTAAATTTTTAAATGAATGTTTTATACTTTAATAGATCAAAAGTAGTTGTCTAAGAACTCGTATTTTGTTAAAAATGTATAAAAGCATGAAAAGCATCAAAATAAAGGGCAGAGATCCCGAATTTTATGGAAAAGACACTAACAAAGGACTGCATCCTCATTATACATTGATTTTGCTTCTTGTTATTCCCATTTAGTTACTCTGCTATGATAAGTAGCTTGATCTATCAAGGATAAGAAATACGTTTAGGTTAAAGGCATTAATTGAAGCATTTAATGCATTTATGGATACTTTTTCTCTCTCTAGATCAAACGATGGAGTAAGACGAAATAATTTTATGAATCAAACTCAGGGAGTTGTAATGCTCATCTCTTTCAAAGTTACTATATAAAAAGCTCTATAACTAAAAAAAAAGAAGATAAAAGATAAAAATGCAAATATAGAAAAATTTTGAGATACAATACATATCTATTAGAAAATCTTCTTCAAGAGTTTTCTCATACTTAAACGATTTGCTGTAATCACGTCTAATAGAAATGACAATTACAACCTTGTAATACCTTCATTGTTATAGGGTAGAGCTTAAAAAGGCTTAATAGTAAAAAGTTACTTGAGGGTTGAGCCTAAAAAGGCTTGTTTATAAAAGAATACTTGGGTAGTGACTTAAATAAGCCATTCAAAAAAACACTTTTTTGAACTATAAGTGACTTAGTAAAATGATACTTGTAACTTTGCTGAAAGTTAGTAAAACTTAATTTGGTTGGATTGAGAACTACACATAGCCTTGGTGGTTGAGGTGAATCAGTATAAAAACTTTTTTGTGTTAATTGATTACTCTTACTAATTCTTTGTCCGTTACAGGTATTACTTCATGTACTTTAAAACATACGAGTTTTTGATATACAACATTTAACCCCCTTTTTAGTGTCTATCTCTTCTCCATAGATTCTCTCTATAGAAATTATCTCTTTAAGGTCTGAAAATTATGTACTTATGAAACTCAACTTAAAATAGAACCTTATATATCTTTCTCTCTTAGAGCCAACTAAACCTCTAGCTAGAGACCCTTACAACTTACACAACTTACTAGAGTACAGTGTTACATAATGTAGACTAAATACATACACTTTTAAATAATTTTAAATAATTATCTCATCATCAAATAAAAAAACACTTTTTATTCTTATGTTATAATAAAAAAATCTAATATTGATTAGTAATTATTAAAATATTTTATCTAAATCCTTCCTTTTATTTTGATACATATATATATATATATAATTATTTTATAATAATAAAAATTTATTATTAATAA